CGTCATGGCCCAAGGAATCATTGGAAGAAAGAGACTCAAGTTGGATTTCTATGGTCATTTATACAGTATATGGACACTCACAATTTATTATTTATTGCAGAAACAACTTGGAATAAACGGCTCATTGGGGGCTCAGTTTAAAATGAGACGTGTTGAATGAAATGTTTTAGATAATCACAATTTCCAGCTTCGTTTCTGCTTCTTTTTCTGACGGAAACGTTCGTCACGTATGACGAGTTCAAGGACTGTCAGAAATATTAAGACATCTAAGGAGAATGGCTTATTATGCACAAGGCCCGGCAACATGTCCGCGGCCCCGCTAGGGTCCAGGGACCGCCTCGGCTTCATGGGGGTCTGCAGAGTTCTCCTTTGACACTTGAAGCTTTAAATGTTGCGCTTTGCGTGCGTCTCTGGTTTAAAGTGCACGCGCGTTCATCGATGGCGTGCACGTGGTCTCGTTCGCGGAGTGATTCACCCCACGAAAGATGAATCTCTCTGCCTCCTCACTTTACTTCTTCGTGTCTTATTGTTCTGGTCGTCGTGGAAACGTAATTTCAGTCTCCCTGTTCAGGACACTTCGCTCTCAACTCTTCTTTTTCTTTAAGAAAGCAGCCGTATTCCGGTAAGCTGACTGAGCAGAAGCCGCTCACGTGATCCTCCCGGTCGGTTAACTCCTTCCGTCCCTCCCCCCAAAACCAGGAGCTCCTTCTTTCCCCTTCTTTTGGACCCGCCTTCCCGCCGGCGTGCAGGTCAAAGGTCATTTTCATTTGATGGACCAGGTGTACCTGAAGGATCTACGGGAACCCGGAGAGGGACACGCCCCTTCCTGTGTGTGTGTGTGTCATTAAGGTGACGTGAGACTCTGCAGCCAATCAGCAGGAAGGAGCCCGATCGCCAGAAGCTTTAGAAACTGGCGGCTCTCCATTTTCTCGATGACCCTCAAACACATCATTTGGCACAAAGACTTCCCGTCTGACCCCTGACCCCTGACCCCTAACCCCAACCACATCAAGAAATGATTTTCAAAAGAATAAACCTTCTAGTTTGCCGTGTCTGAATAAGCGGTGAACCGAGGACCTGGACCTTTATTTTGTAGTAAAACAAAAATAAGAGCCTCAGCTTCAGCGTTCAGCGGGTCTGTGCGTTGGAACAAGAAACCCGTCACTCAGCACCTTGTGCTCGGTCGTCATAGCGATGGAAAGAGTGACATCAGCGGGACTCCCCTCCTCTCCTTCCTCCTCCTCCTCCTCCTCACAGACAGTTTGTTGGTTCCAGGTCTTTCTTGTGTGGGCTTGTGTCTCCGGTCAGAAACACGAGCACACGCACACCTGTGCCGATGTCATCTTCCTGCCGTCATGATGTCATCCGCTCGCGTACGAGCCACAGCGTGTCGACGCGAGGAATGAACATAAAACGGACGATAAATAGATGAAATGTGTTGAGGGGACAAGTGTCAAAGATGTGTGAATGATATGTACATGCATAACATGTGTATATATACACATATATATACTGTGTGTGTGTGTGTGTGTGTGTGTGTGTGTGTGTGTGTGTGTGTGTGTGTGTGTGTGTGTGAACATCTCAAAATCAATGTATAGATATTTGTTAAATCTATGAAATGATTGATAAATCCTCCTCCTCGTCCTCAGCTGGAGGATTATCTGCTCGTGGTTTTATTCTCTGCCATTAGAGGGATTCCCCTCTTCGTGTTCCGTCGGCCGACAGCAGACGTCCTGTATTCATTTCCGGCCGACAGATGCAGATTATTTCACTAAACTGCTTCTTTCTTTTGAACGTAGTTGCTTCCGGCTGGTTTCAGGTCAGCAGCCTCTGTTTCCTCGTCTGTGTGTGCGTTTTATTTGAGTAGATGTTAAATGGAGCATCTGAGCAGGTTAGTGTCGCGGCTCTTTGATATTCTTTGTTTGAATCCTTCTGGGATTATTAGATTATTATTATTATTATTAGGGATTAATCCCAGAAATGAATGACGATCGCTTCTATGGATCAAAAAACAATTAACTGAATTACACAATAACTGTTCTGTTGATCTAAATAGTTTGTTTACGGTTTATTTCAAAGATTTAGAGACTCTTGTCTCTTTGTCTTCGTCCAACGATACGTCTGATAGACAAAGGTTGAGAACCTCACTGTTATAATCTGTTAATAAAGTTGTTATAGTGGTAGATGGGGGGGGTCCTGTTAACATTTCTTGTGGTTTGGATCGCGCTGCCTCCCCGACCATAAACAGATTAGTGCAGTGGCTCCGAGTGCTGGAGGCCATCTGCACCCGCTGCCGGGGGGGAGGGGGGCAGATGCTCCAGCGGGGCAGTAGGGCTGCAGAGCCTCCTGCTCTCCCACGGCAGCGTTCTACCACCGCCACTCGTCCCCTAGCTGCCTAGATCACTCACTAGCTCCCTAGCTCACTCACTAGCTGCCTAGCTCACTCACTAGCTCCCTAGCTCACTCACTAGCTGCCTAGCTCACTAAACTATCTCCCTAGCTCACTAACTAGCTCCCTAGCTCACTAAACTAGCTCCCTAGCTCACTAACTAGCTGCCTAGATCACTCACTAGCTGCCTAGATCACTAACTAGCTCCCTAGCTCACTCACTAGCTGCCTAGCTCACTAAACTAGCTCACTAACTAGCTGCCTAGATCACTCACTAGCTGCCTAGATCACTAAACTAGCTGCCTAGCTCACTAAACTAGCTCCCTAGATCACTAACTAGCTGCCTAGATCACTCACTAGCTGCCTAGATCACTAAACTAGCTCCCTAGCTCACTAAACTAGCTCCCTAGCTCACTCACTAGCTGCCTAGATCACTAACTAGCTCCCTAGCTCACTCACTAGCTGCCTAGATCACTAAACTAGCTCCCTAGCTCACTCACTAGCTGCCTAGATCACTCACTAGCTGCCTAGATCACTAAACTAGCTCCCTAGCTCACCAACTAGCTCCCTAGCTCACTCACTAGCTGCCTAGATCACTAAACTAGCTCCCTAGCTCACTAACTAGCTCCCTAGCTCACTCACTAGCTGCCTAGATCACTAAACTAGCTCCCTAGCTCACTAAACTAGCTGCCTAGAAAAAAAATCCTTGTGTGATTTTTGCATTTTGTTCAAACAGTTTAATTTCTTGAATATTGGTCCTCACTCGCTTTTGTTCCTTCCATCAAGTGCAACCTAACGACGGCTAATTGTAGGTGTGTGACTGTGAGGGAGGGGGGGCGGGGTCGAGGGGGGGTCGAGGGGGGGCTGGGCTCCTGTCTGGGACAGAACTCGGTGAAATTACAAGGCAGAGGGCTTTCCTCCTCCTCCGGCCTGCGGGCTGAGGGTGATGGAGGGGGGGGGGTGATGGGTGGTGTCAGGTAGGACGGTGCTTGGCCTCACTTTTTCGGGGACAATTCACAGGGATTCTCAGCGGAGGAATAAATGAGGAGGAACTTCAATTTTTTTGCATAACGTCTGTTTTCTTCTCGCCTTCGGCTCGTGTGGTCTTTGGCCTTATGGGGGGGAGGGGGGCTCCCCCCGTCACCCCCCTACATTAACGTGTACTAACCATGTTACAACCAACCAGCAGCGCTAACCTTAGCGTAGCTTAGCGCCGATCGACCCAAACCCCAAAACAAGAGTTTTAAAAGCGTTTTGCTTTTTTTCTGGAGAAGAAAATGAAAACATGAATTCAGACTTTTTACAAACTGCCGTCAGCGCGGAGCAACATGTGTGTACATGCATGCATGTATATATATGTACACACACACGTGTGTTTGTGCGTGTATATTAGTGATTATTCCCGACATGTAAGTGGTTCTACTGGCGTGTGAAGCCGGGGAAAGTGAGTCGGGCTCCCAGCCGGTGGTCCCCGTTGTCTCTTTGTCTCTTTGGTGAGCTGGTGTTAATAGTTCATCTCTCAGCGGGACGGTGAGCCTACACCCCCCCCGCCCCCCCCTCGGTGACTCAGCTGATCTCAGGTCAGCTCGTCTCACTGTGTCAAGACGGAGCAAATCAATTAGTTTACAAGATATTCAACCTTTTTTTCTTGATTTTATTTTTAATACTTAAGTTCTTTCTCTACAGTTATTTAACGGAGACCGTAAAGTAAAGTAGTCAATCAACACGAGTCTTACAGACCCCCCCACATCCCCCCAGCCCCCTTGGTGGTCGTTTTACAGCGATTTGCAGGTCTTGTTGACCTTTTGACTTTTCTCATTATGTTGTTTGTGGGTGGGGCAGAGTTTTTTTTGTTGGTGTTGTTGTTTGGGGGGGGGGGGGGGCGTTTAAACAGGATAATTGACTCCTGACACGCAGATTTTATTTCACCTGATTTGTTCTCTAGAAATAAACTTGCAATAAAATGAGATTAAGAAAAACAATAAAATAAGAAGCATCA